GAATAATGAGGGTAACAAATGTACAAATGTGCTTTATACAACTGATGTATGTATGGATTGTGATGAGTTGTATGAGCCCCCAATAAAATGACTTTAAAAAAAAAAAGTAAAAAAAAACATAAGCAGACCTTTGCTGTCCACACAGACTTTGTTAAAAAATAAGTACTTTCTTTTGATCACCAAAAACTAGCAATATATCTAATAATATTTGGCAACAATTGGCTTTTCATGCTGTATTTAAAATTATATTACTTTATCCATTTTTTAAAACTTTGTATATTTGTCAACAGTCCTTTAATGTAACCAAACCCAATCAGTGAATATCAATCCTAAACATAGTTCATTGTAGAATTCAGGAATAATAAATGATGGTACTGAAATTTATGCATTCTTATCATTAATATACCTAAATTTACAATCAAAAGAAAAATATTTTCAAAAGTTAAATTTTCAAAACAAAAATATCAACCCCTTTATGAAAGCTTTATTTATGAAAACCTATATTTTCATAAACATACTGAAGGTTATTCTTTTTTTAAGTTTTTGTTAGCTAAGAAAATACTAAACAATTCCAACCAGAAAAGGTTCTAAAGAACATTTTCTCTAAAACATTTTAACCTATCATCTGCTATAGCTATAAATTATTTAACTGTGACCACAAATTTTTAAAATTTATTTCAGACACTTAAATAATGTAAACTAAATTAAAAAATACCATGAGAGCCAGAATTTCTTTTCTTTTTTCATTTTCATTACTGTATCTCAAGAATATACTATGCGAGGGGCTTAAGTGAAAAGCAAATGTTTTGAGAATGATGAGGGCAATTAATGTAAAAATGTGCTTTACACAATTGATGTATGTGTGGATTGTGATAAGAGTTGTATGAGCCCCCATAAAATGGTTTTAAAAAAAAAGAATATAGTATGCGGAAAAAAAGAAAAGAACATAGTATACAGAAAAAAGAAAAAAAGACTATAGTATGCAGAAAAAGGAAAAAGAGAATATCATATGCAGTCTAGAATAACACCTATAGTACTGTTCACAGTTTAGACACATGTTCTCCATGAAAAAAATAAACTCACAAAGACAAGAAACTTTCAAGAGAAAACAGTAACTCAACAAAGAGTCCATACATTTTTCAAAAGGTAAAAAGCAGATGAGGAGATGAATGCATACATAGAGGGTTGGATAGATGCATCTATTCAACAAATGTTTAATGAACATATAGTATATCCCTGACGAGTCCAAGTGTTGGAGATACAACTAACCTCTGTAACTTTCTAACAAAGGAAAGCACAGAAATGGAATGGCAGTGGGAGAATAAATAAAATAGGGAGATTTTTTATGCACATTTTTATGTCCACAGAAATATGAGGATATTTTTGAATGCCAAGTCAATGGTCCAGAAATGAGAGAAAACACAGCTGATAGTAAAGAACAGTGGAGAAGCCTTCAAGAAGATAGAAAGGGTCCAAATTCAAAGATTTCAAGTAATTCCATGAATTAAAAATTATTAGACTCTCTTACATCTGCACACCACAAAACAAAACTCAAATATATTCTATGCTGTGGGAGCAGACTGCCTTAAGAAGGACTCTGAGAAAGGAACTCCTGGGCTTCTGAGCAACAGTGTGCACTTACGGGACAGTCTGCACTTCGTTTCCTTCTTCCAGTAGTCCAGGACCACTACAGTCCACAGCTCAGGCACGGCCCAGGGGAAGGAACCTACAGCTCATACCAGGGATCAGAGACGGGGATGGTCTGACCTTCACACTAAGAAAAGGTACACACTTTCTCTCTTATTCCCTAGGAAATGGCTGAAACACAGTAATCTGCAGATGTCCAGTTACGGTCCCTAGTTTTGGCTTTATCTTCCCCTCCAGTCTATAGACAAATTGGCTAGAATATTACTGCTTCTTTGCTTGCCTTCACAGAAGGTGTCAACAAACCCTTTGTGTGAGAACTTGTCATGGAATGCAGGGCACATGACAAGAACTGTATATAAGCCTACTTTGAAGAAAGTTCTGGGCTTTGGAGTCCCCTTCTCCTTGAGTGTCCTACGCCCCAACTTTACCTTTCCTTTTATCTATCTTTCTCAATTGTTGGGGTGCCCCTATAAACCCTGGCTTCATTTGTTAGGCAGCCGGCTTTCACTCACAATATGCTTATTAGCAACCCACATTTAAACAAAATTGAGTTGACAAGCATGTAAATAGCAAGAGAAAGAAACCTACTTTGAAAGTTACTGTGGCCTTTGTACAATAAAATCCTATAGAAACAATAGGATCCTTCAAAGTCGGCGCCTTTTGCTGATGCGTGGTGGACGTGGGATCATTTCCTAAGTAGTCTTCTTCATCATTATCATAACTCACAATTGCAGGTACAAATGACCAGGCCCATGACACCCATCCCTGTGACTGTTCATCATCTTGTTGTGAATAGAAGTCTTGGGTTTTGTACTGAGCAGGATACTGCATTTCTATTCTTGTTTCATCTTCAGCAACTATCAATTAAAAAAAAAAGTTTGAAATAAAGCCAGAGAATTTAACAGAGAGAGAAAAAAAACATGTGAAATCTTATTAAAATATTCTCACATCCTTCTTTCTTCAAATAAGGTAAGATTAATTGGTTTTAAAATCTACTTTTCTAAAATAAACCCAATGTACTCAATAACAGATTTTTCTCAGAAAAAAAATTCTGGCATGATATGGGAGTACTCAACTGAGAAAGCAAATGACAAGTACTTCTAGGCAAATAAATGCATTACCCAAAACGAGAATTATTCTGAATGATAAAAAATTAAAATAAATGTTCTAATGAAGAAAAAGTGAGTTGTATATGTATTTTTAAGAAAAATAATAGAGTTTGTTATTCTTTCTAATTTGTGAGAAGATATACATTTTCTGTTCTACAAATGTAAAATTTATAGCAGTTCTATTTAGTTGCAAATTAGCAGCCTAAGGATTTAAATTCCAGTCATTCTTTTATTCTATCACACAACACAATCTTTATAAAAACAAACCCCATCAAAGCCTCAACATTAATATAATAATGATAATCTAAAAAATTTTTAAAGATACATCAATATAAAATTTGGAGAACCACATTATTTTTGTTAAAGTGATGATATAAACAATGTCTAGCAAAGTCAAGTGTACCTATTCTCAATGTCGACAAATCTGTAATAAACACAGTATCTTAAATACTATCCCCATTCATATACACATCCAGGGTCTTCTGGCTGGGAAAAACTTGAGAACTTTTTATTATTCTTATGCCAAGAGAACCTTGGAAAATCATGCACTTATAGGTTGTGATAAAAGACCATCTACCATATGCCCATTTTTCTTTCATCTGGAAAAAGAAAGACTAGGTAAATAGTAACCACATTACTTAAAATATCATACTAACCTTGAAAATAAATTATAAAATTATAATTATAAAATAATAAAAACATGTTTTGAGAATGATGAGGGCAATGAATGTACAAATGCACTTTACACAATTGATGTATGTATGGATTATGATAAGAGTTGTATGAGCCCCTAATAAAATGATTTTTTTAAAAGCAAGAAATGTTTCAAATAATATTTATACAGGTTCATACATGGTAAACTATAAAATTATATAAGGTCTACAAGATAAATAATGAAATCTATTATCAATTGTCCTTCATAAGATGTCAAATTAGATGTTACCAATGTCCATCATCTTGATTATAAAACAGAAAGTCATGTCACCTAAATACAGGGAAGCAGTGACCAAGTAGGGTCCCCAGAAATGGACTGTGGACTTCTTTGTCTTTCCTATTAAAATAATAGCTACAGCTTGAGTTTCTGAAGTAAAAGATATGTTAACAAAAGAAGCTGAAAAACCTATTTTTATTTAATATCTTTTAAAAACTAAAAATTAAGAGACTTTGGTGAAAGATGTTTTTGAAGTTCTAAATCTTTGCTCACTGCCTTATAAAATGCAACAGTCAAGAGCATAGGGAAAACTACCTCACTGATGTCTAGTTCCAATTTTCTAAAATACGCTTTCTTGATTAATCTGAGGTCCTTGATAAAATTAAGAAAATGCATGACTTTCAATGAAAATATATATTACTTAAAATTTAACATTCTTTTAATTATAAAAATAGGAAGTAAATCACAGTTTTATTCACAATACCTACAATTCTAAGACCTATAGAAATGACAGCTATTATGTAAAGTAACAGCTCTGAGGCCATTAAAAACTGTCATTTATACTCATTACTATTTTAAAATTACAATACCTATTAGACCAACTGTTCCCCAAAAAACTTCCAAACTTCCATCATCAAGTTAATTCTGACTCATGGAAACCCTGTGGCTTTCTGAGACTGTAAATCTTTATGGGCACAGACAGACTCATCTTCTCCCTTGGGGATGGTGGGTTCAAACTGCTCAGTGTGCAGGTAGCAGCCCAACATGTAAAAACGATTATGGCACCAGAATTCTGACTCATCAAAAAACACCTCACTGCCATCTAGTCGGCACAGTCTCAGAGACCCCACTGGACAGAGCAGAACTGCACCCATGGGTTTCCAAGGCTGTCAATCTTTATGGGATCAGGAAGTCCATCTCTCTTGTGGAGCAGCTGATGGTTTCCAACTGCGGACCTTGTCTCCCTCAAGTATGCACCTGATTACTGTACACAGACTGCAAATAAAACTACCTAAAACTAAGAAAAGAACCAGCAAAAAGAAGCAAAGAGAACAATTCCCACAGCTCATGTAGAACTGAGAATAGTTTGTGTCCCCACAAGTCAGGAAGAAAAATCCTTGTAATTTCCTGAGCATCCGACAGAGGCAAAATAAGACCCGAGGGTAAAGATTTTTCTGATCCCATTAACAAAGCTTTAAAGCAAACCTCAAATGGATCAGACTGTTTCCAATAATTTAACTATGTGCATAAAAAAATATCCAGCAACCAACAAATTGTACTTCACAATGTCTATTTTCAAATTAAAATTATCAGGCACACAGAGCAAAAGAAACTATGATCCACAAAGAGAAAAGAAAGTCAGTCAATAGAAACAAACAGAAATGACAAAGATTTATAAAATACACAAGAACATTAAAGCACCAATAAAACTTAAATGTCATTCTTAAGCAAAGTACAAAAAGGGTAGAGAAAGAGAGAGATAATTTTTAGAGGCACAAGCAAGAGTTTTAGAAATGAAAAATTAAAAGTCTGATATGGAATATAAAGATAGAATTAATAACAGATTAGACAAAGCAGAAGAAAAGATTAGTCAACCTGAAGACACAACAAAAAAATAATACCCAAAATGAAATACAACAAGAAATAAAAGAAAAATTAACAGCCTATCAGTAAGCTCTGTTGAACAAATGCTTAATTCACATATGAGAGGGGAAATTCACTCTTCCAAAAATATTTGTATTAAACAATTCAATGGCCAACATATTTCCACATTACAAAGTATAATGTCTTTAATAAAAGTATAATTAAATCAATCATTGAGTCAATCTGCTATATATCAATAAAGTATATAAATCAATAAATAATTACTCATGCAATTAATTAGCTATGTAACTCTTGATGAAAGCTTACTAATACTAGTCACTAGTTAAACCCCAACTAAGGAGCTATTGTAGGTGTACAATCTTAATTTTTATAAAATGTTCATTCTGAATACATACTTGTTAAAAATACAAATTTTTAGCACAGTGGAAGAAATTTCTAGAAAAATATCGAGTCTGAAGAAAAAGGGGGAAAATCAAAGTAGTATAAAACAACAAAAATTTTACCATCTTGTCACATTAAGAAACTGCAAGATTTAATCTAATGATATAACATTTACAGTGGTAAAAATAACTTGTGAGAACAGTTAAAAATTAGCTTTTTGTTTTAATTACCTGTAATGTTTCCTAGCATGTCTTTATTGTGACAGGTAGGTTCCTCTGTTTCTCCTTCTTTAAAATTACCTATTTCTCCATAGTAAAGAGCAATTCCAAGCTGCATTATACGGATAAACATAGGCAGTTGTTGATCTGTGATAGAAAGTTTCAAGCTCTCAACTAAAGTATGAATCTGCATTTTAAAAAACAAAAGCATGTATAAAGGGAATGCCATTTAATATAAGCAGAACATTTTTAAATTACAAAATGAAACACCACCATAAAAACAATTAATATCTCAAACATTTCTAATACTTCAACTAAAATATTCTAAGAAGCTTAGAAATTAAACAAATTTTGTTATGGTGAATTTTACATAGAAACTGCATTACCTCAAATAGAGTTGAAAATGAGAGGAAATACACTTGATTTCCAGATATAGTATTCCACAAGGAAAATAAGTTACATTGACAAAATATCTATTTTATAAAGTTATTAGTATGATAGTACCAAAAACTAGAGGGATCTGTCAAAATAAGAATAATTACTAAAGTTTTCAAGACAACCTTTAGTAAAATTGTAATTGCTCTCCCCAAATTTATTAACCAAAAAGAACATATACACATCCTAAAGACATACACTAAGGGGGAAAATATTATATTTCTACTAGGAAATATGTCATTATATTTTCAGGACAGAAATCAAATAGTAGGTAAATAAAACTTTTCTTGTAAAACACAGAAAACCAGCTGAAATGTGTCCAAAAATTTTTTCAGATAAATCAAGAGATTTAAAACATGACAAATTCATAACATCAATCAATTATATCAAAGAAGAAAGGTTATTTACTAACAAATAGGAAAAACAGCAGTCCATCAAAGCTCTCCTTAAGGAAAGAGAAAGCAATGAGATATAAACACAGCTACAGTGTAATGGTTTCCTGCTGTTGTATAAACATAGGATAAAACTAATTAAGCCATAAAAGCAATCCTCTAGGAATGTTTATTTGACTAACTGGTATTTGAGTGCCTATGAAACATAAAATAGTAGTCCTATTTCCAGGACAGAAATCACAAATTGTTATGAAAGGTGGGGCAAAAGTTAGACATGGGGCAGAAAGACAAATCCATAAAATACCTATGAAACATGACTACAGGTCTCCTCAGCCTGACTGAAAACCCATACAGTGAATAGACAATGAAGGGATAAGACATGAGGAGAGGACAAGGCAGGACAGGCATGTACAGAGCGAGCCTTCCGAGCTCTGGTCTGAGGTTCCATCTGCCACTGTTACTGCACCAACAGCACAAGAGGCAGAGCAACCTTAGCAGACTTGATAACAAAATGCTATTTAAATACATTTTCTAAAGTAACTCCTCAAAATCCATTATGATTATCAAATACCCAACAGAAAGATTTTTGTGCAACAAGTTGGAAATTTTTAAAATATAATCATATTAAGGATAGCAAGGGTGTGGTAAAGCACACTCTTAAAACCTTTTTGGCAAACAATTTTGAAATATAAATGATAAGCTTAAAACAGCTTAAATTCATTAGCAAGGTATTTACAGTTAAAGAAATCTTTCCTAAGGAATTAATCAGCAATGTAGCCAAAGAGTTATACAAAGAGTTTCATTCATCTGAGAAACTTTAAGCAGTGTAAATTTCCAAAAATGGGGAAAAGGTTCAGTAATTTAAGCATATGTGCATGATCATCTATGGCATAGATGTCAGAATCTCTAAAACCTATTTGTTTCACATAGAAGTTAGAAAATGTATTACAAGCAAACCCAAAATATAAATAAAACAGTAATTAGACTATCTGGGGCAATTTGGGAAATGCCCTGTTTTTGATGTGATCAATGACGTAAATGATGTCTATGTAATACAAATTTCTTAGGACCCTAAAAACCGAATTCACTGCCATCTAATCAATTCTGACTCACAACTATACACTATCAGAAGTAAGACCCACCCCCAAGAACCTGACTACTCCTGCCCTTGGTTATCATATATCTGTGAAAGTAGAAGAAATATCTCTGCAGTATACCTGCTGGCATAATGGTTACCTGTTGGGACTGCTTACTGCACGGTCAGCAGTTCGAAACCACCAGCCACTCCTTAGGAGAAAATTAAGGCTTTCTACTCCAGTAAAAGAGTTAGAGTCTCAGAAACTCACAGGGGCAGTTCTCCCCTGTCCTATAGGGTCATTATGAGTGGGCACCAACTTGAGGGCAGTGAGTCTTTGGGTGTGGAGTACCAGCCTGGGTCATCTCCACTTCAGGAAACTGACCCCTGCCACCTGTTCCTCCTCAGAACGCACTTTTGCTTTGAAATAACTGCATGGCCCAGTGAGACCCTGTGCCTGTCCTACCACAGTTGGGCCAAGGACTCTCAGATTCTTCGGGGAGAAGAGGAGCAGTAAGCCAGGGACATCTGAAGAAGATAACACACACGACAGTTGCTTTTCTTAGGATGGGGAGTAGGATAAGTTATGCCTCTAAACCCAACAAAGCAACTCCAGTATCACAAAAGTATTCATTTTTAAAGCTAATGAGTTCATTTCAATTGAGCATTATGGAACTCCTATCTGATGCTTGCCAGAGCCAAAAACAAACGCTATATGACAACAAGTTTATTTATATAGTTTATATGTATAAGCACTTTTTACAACAAAAGGGCAGGACTAATCAATATTGAGAACATAAACTTACACTATATGCCAACACTAAGTTTTTCCTTAAATGCATATATTTTTACTTTCTT